AAAATTTATGTTCAGTTTTTAAAAGTCCAAGTCAATCCATTACAAGCAGATATGGAACCAACTTAACATTAATTATCCTATGTTCAGAGACAAGAAAACCTTACGGTGTATGAGAAAACAAAATGAATCAATCTTTCACTAGAAATCCAATTGTACTTTGTTAAAATATGGCCCGGTTAAAAAAAATAATATCATTTTTCAAGCTGTTTATGAAGTTGAATTGTTGACATATAAAAGGCACTATGTAACGAAAAAAACCCAAAAATTGTCAGTAAAAACATTTAAAAATTCACACAAAATCATTGGATTATTACTGTTTAAATATTGTTAATTTAAGACGTTGTGCTAGTGTATTCGAGGAAGAATTCGATCGCATAAGTATGGGTTTAAACAGAGGCCACATTCGGGAACGAGGATTATTCAATCAATCGAGTCCACGAGGGTACAGTAAAGTTGCGCCGGAATTACTTTGTACGTAATCGCTGTGTAATAATCAGTCGTGTAATTCGAGTTATTAAGAAATGAGTTGTTGAGTTTTACTCACGTCGATTTTATTCACCGACCAACGTAACACTATTTTTTTAAGTCTGGAATGACGCTGCTGATTTTTTGTGGTAAACAATATAAACGGTTTATTTATTAAAAATTGACGCAGGGGTGTTCCATTTGAAAATAGAAGTTCATGAAAGTTAGAGCGATTACATCGAATAAAAAAGATAACCTGTATATACCGATATATATAGATATTGCGTGAATATTCTTGAAATTTTAATTTGGCAACAGGTTTCTGTCGATGATGTAAGTAAAGAGTTGATTATATGCAGTTATCAACTTTTTATTTCAAGCTATCCTTGACTTTTACAAATAAACTTTAGTGCAAGAGTCCAATTTTAAAAACGAATTTAAAATCTTTAAATTAAAAGAGGGATTGATCATTTTTCGATGTTCTTTCCAGATACTGTCTACGAATTTTATAATTTGTCACTGTGCGTAAAAAAAACCTTGTACCTTTTGATGTCAACAGAGTGTCTTTCATTCCATCATTAAAATTCTCGTAGAAAGGTGACTTGTCAATATTTTTTCTACATCTGCCGGTTTTGTGATGGCTATGTACAACTGTGAGCCTGCCCAGATTTTTGTAACGGGTCTATAGGAGTCCAGATTTCGACAAACTAGTTCAAAAAAATCTGCAAAATAATTATGTTACACTTTCTCAAAACAAATTAATAAATATTTATTACTTAATGTCTTTTGTTGCAGATAACAGGAACGTAGTTCCCACCAAGGGAACTGAGAATGGTCCAGGAATTTTCCAAGCGTGATACAACAACCATCGTTTCTTCCAGAGAACCCAAGTGATGCTAAAAATCACACAAAGAATGAAAATCCAGATTGCCATAGCATTAGGTGTGAGGACACGAATTTTAAAACAATTCGCTTTACATTTAAGAGGTAAACTGTTTTTAAAATTGGACTCTTGCACTAAAGTGTACTTGTAAAAGTCAATAATAGCTTGAAATAAAAACTTGAAAACTGCATACAACCATCTCCATACTTGCATCATCGACAGAAACCTGTTGCCAAATTAAAATTTCAAGAATATTCACACAATATCTATAAATATCTTTACATACAGGTTATCATTTTTATTGGTTGTAATCTTTCTAACTTTCGTCAAGTTCTATTTTCAAATGGAACACCCCTGCGTCAATTTTTAATAAATAAACCGTGTAAATTTTTTACCAAAAAAAAAATCACCAGCATCATTCCATATTTTAGACTTAAAAAATAGTGTTACGTTGGTCGGTGAATAAAATCGACGTGGGTAAAACTCAACAACTTATTTCATAATATATAACTCGAATTCCACGACTGATTATATTATACAGCGATTACGTACAAAGTAATTCCGGCGCAACTTGACTGTACTCTCATGGACTCGATTGATTGAATAATCCTCGATCCCGAAGGTGGCCTCCATTTAAACTCATACTTCTGCGATCGAGGTTTTTCTCGAATACACCAGCAAAACGTCTTAAATTAATAATTTTGAAACCGTATAATCCAATGGTTTTGTGTGAATTTTTAAATGTTACTGACAATTTTCGTTTTTTTTTTCGTTACATTACATATTAATACTGTGAAAAAAATGAAAATGTAAATTACTCGAAAATTTAAAAAGTCGAAAACCTGAAAAATTGAAAAATCGAAAAACCGAGAAATCGAAAAATCAAAAGTTCGAGAAATCGAGAAGTCAAAAAATTGAGAAGCCGAAATAGGCCAAAATCGAAAAATCAAAAAAAGTTAAAAATTGAAAAATCGGTAACTGCAGAAATTGACAATCAAAACATCGAAACATCCAAATCTCGATAAATCGAGAAATCAAAAAATTGAATAATTGGAAAAATTGAAAAATGGAAACACTGAGAAATTGAAAGATCCAAAATCGAGAAAGCAGAAAATAAAAAAACAGAAAATGGAAAAACTGAAAAACCGAAATAGATCAAAATAAAAAGTCGAAGAGTTATAAACTGAAGAACTGATAAATCGAGAAACTGTACAATGAAAGGAAAACTGAAAAATCCGAAAATTGAAACATTCAAAAACTGAAAATCTAAAAATATTGAAAACTGAGATATGGAAAAATCAAAAGGATGAAGTCGAAAAATCAAAATCTTAAAAAAAAAGTCGAAACATTGAAGAAAGCCGAAAGTAAAGGAATGCGAAAAATTAATTGAAAAATCGAAAAATTGATAATTTAGATGTCAAAATTTGAAAAATCGAAAATCGAAATATTTGAAAATAGTAAAATTGAAAAGGACAAAAATTGAAAAAACGTAAAACAGAAACGTCGGAAAATTAAAAATCGAGAAATTGTAAAATTGGGCAATCGCGAAATCGAATAAATAATCTGAAAAATCACAAAACTGAAATTTCGAAGAACTGAAAAATGTAAGAAAAACAAGACTGGAAAAACTGGATAATCCCAAAACTAAAATATCTAAAAACTGAGAATCTAACGAACTGAGAAATGGAAAAATAGAAAAATCAAAAAATGGGGACGAAAAACTGAAATCTTAAAAAAATCGTAAAATTGAAAAATCAAAAAATTGATGAATAAATATTTTGAAAACTTGAAAACTGAGATTTAGAAAAAATGAAAAATGGAAGAAAAATAGAAGAATGGAAATAAAAAAATATATCAAAACCAAAATATCCAAAATCTGAGAAATTCAGCAATTGAATAATTGAGGCATCAAAAAGTCAAAAAAGTGAAGTCGAAAAATAGAAACTTCCAAAAATAAAAAAAAAAAATGGAAAAATCAAAAACTCAAAAAATTGAAAAATTGAAGAATTGAAGAAATGAAATTCGAGGCACCAAGAGTTTATAAAAGTCAAATTAAAGAAATTGAAAAATCGAAATATTTAAAAATCGTTTAATGGAGGAGGAGAAAAGTTGGAATAACTTAAAATTGAAACATCGAAAAATTGAGAAATCGAAAAATTGAGAAATCGAAAAATTTTAAATCGTGAAATTGAAAAACTGAGAAATTTTAAAATTGAAAAATTGAACAATAAATAAACTGAAAAATCCCAAAACTGAAATTTCGAAAAATTGGAAAATGAAAGAAAAACTGAAAAATCCCTAAACTGAAATATCCAGAAACTGAGAAATTAAATAATGGAAAAATTAAAAAAGTGAAGTTGAAAAATCAAAACCTTAAAAAAAATTGAAAAACTGAGAAATCAAAAACCTGAAAAAATTGAAGAATTGAAGAACAGGAAAATCGAAACTGTCGAAATATTTAAAAATCGTAAAATTGAAAAATGAAAGAAAAACTGAAGAGTGAAAATACTGAAAAATCTCGAAACTGAAACATCCAAAATCTGAGACATTAAAAATTTGAAAAAAATTAAGAAATCGAAAAGTAAAAAAGTGAAGTCGAAAAATCGAAACTTTCAAAAATAAAAAAATTAAAATATCAAAATCTTGAAGAATTGAAAAATAGGCGAAATAAAAAATCGAAAAACTGAGTGTTTTAAAATAATGCGGGTTGTATTTATGGTGCAAGAATTATTCTTGTACGAAACTGTTTGGATTTTTGTTGTCATTAATACTCAAGAAAAATCAAAGTTATGCAAACATTTATTTACTTGAATCATTCTTATGAACTTCTTTTAAAATTAAGTATGTGGCAACGATATTTGTCTTTGAGGTAACGATGTCGCCAGAAAATAAAGTCGATCAAATACAGACGACTAATTAAATAAGCCCACTAGTTCACAAAGCATTCAGTTTTGCAGATTTCAAATTAAATATCAAAATGTTGTTTCCTAATTTTGATTTTTTTTTTCCAAAAATCTGGACGTTTCGGGTAAAATGTCAATTCGGACTCATAAACTACATGTGTAAGACCATGTTATTTGATACAATTTAAAACTCATTTACTATGTACAATTTTGAAGTGACGCCATCACATTAGTGGTGGCGATAATTAGACAAATTTTGGTTAACGTTTTACCATCTACATGATATACCTAATACCTAATACGTATAAACACAAAATTTTAAAACAATTGGCCCAGTACTATTGGAGATTATCTGTCTAATAAAAATCCAGGACGGCAGACAGACGGACAGATAGACGGACAGACGTACAGACAGACAGACAGCGGAAACGGGAGACCTCTAGGGGTCATGATAGGTCGACAAAATGCTTACGCTCGGGAAGTAAAAGGACATAAAAAAAAATAACGCAGTAATGCAACATTTTCCTGACTCGTATGTAAATAACCATTATATGAACAGAGTAAAGCTGTGTCCAGATAATTGAGAAAATATTGTAATTTTGATGTTGTCACGTAATCTGTTTGCATTTTTCAAGCATTTAACGGGGTCTAGGTTATTCTAACAACTATTTAGCGGCAAAAAATTTTACCGGTCACTACTAAAACAAGTAAAAAAGACTATGAATTCTTTATTGTTAAATATAATATTAAATTAATCATATAACTTCAAAGGACAACAACCATTCGTGTCTATGTTCTAATATACTTACAAACCTACCCATACATTACATACATTTTGGAAAAATGCGTATAGTCAAAATTTTCTTTTTTCGAAACGTAAGCGACTGTTTTTAGCCTTCAGCATAACCATATATTTCCACTGGATGTCCTTCCATGATTTCATACCGACAGTTCGTACTTTGAAGTTCCTCAGAATCGTCGCAACCATTATTTTTACCAGCATCATTCCAAATTTGAAACCTTAGACAAAAATGAAAAAAAATACGACTGTTGAAATCTACAGACCTATACAGTTTCTGGCACCAAAACTGAAAGGAATGTACGAACAACGATGTCTTTTTGCAACTTCATCAGGAAGAAACCGATCCGGATCAAATTTTTCTGGATCAGGCCACACGTCCGGATCTCTGTGTAGTAGCACTACAGGAACGGCGAGGTTAGAACCGGCAGGGAAAACATAAGGATCTGGAAACACGATAACTGGATTTTTTGGATTCATCTTCTAAATTATATTACCGCATTTAATGTCTTCGTCAGCATACCGCACAATGAAAGGAGCTGTGGGTACTAGTCTCAAAGCTTCTTTAACAACGCGTTCTAAATAATCTAGACTATTGATCTGTTCCCGAGTTGGACTGTTCTCGTTATTTGGCAGAACTAGGACGAGTTCGTCGTAAAGTCTTTCCTAAAAGAACAATTTTATTGTGATAGTATTATTTTTACGTAATTTACCTGAATGTCTGTGTAGATTCCTAAAATCGTTAAAATCGTGTTTATTGTGATTGCTGACGTTTCGCTTGCCGCCATCATCATAAAAATCGTTTCTTCCAAAATTTCTTCACGGGTGATCTGCTTCGTTTGACTTAATTTAGTCAAATTAGGTAGAAATCGGTTACTTTGAATTGCGTCATCTGAAAAAAAGACCATTAGCAATCTACCTGCTTTTATGACCACTAAATTTTATATGTAGGTATAGGAAGAAATTTTAAGTGAAGTGCCCATCGAATAGTAAACGACTTGATTTTTATAGACATACCATTTCTACCTTTGGATTCATATGATTTGTATTCTTCTGCCATTAACTGCAAAGACAGAGAAAGTTAAAATTTTGCGACGCAATAAAACGTACGTTTTCGGCAAGTCCGCGACCAGTTTGACAAACCATTTTATGCTCTTTGTGTAAGTTAGACAATTTCCAAAAGAAATCGATGAGAAGCCAAAATGTATGAAATCTCTGTATAAGTATTTCCTCGAATCTAAAATCAAAACAATAAAAACGGTTAAATATAAAGGAATACTTGCTTCACAGTGACTTCAATAACACATCGTCGTTCCTTAATTGCAGACGGCTTTACACTTGTTAAAGTTTCTGTTAAAATAATAGTCGACAATAATTCACTTTTAACCAGAATAATATTTTCGTCACGTTTAAAAATGAAAGTTTTTTACCTAAAGCAACATCCAGGGTTTTGTTCCAAATGACTTCAAGGAGATCCGTTTGCTCTCTACCTTCATTGTCAACCAAAAACTGCACCATCTCGCTTGAATGCTTGACAAATATATCATGAAACGAATTTAAAATCTTCATATTAAAAGAGGGATTGATCATTTTTCGATGTTCTTTCCAGATACTGACTGCGAATTTTATAATTTGTCACTGTGCGTAAAAAAAAACTTGGTACTTTTTGATGTCAGCAGACTGTCTTTCATTCCATCGTTAAAATTGTCGTAGAAAGGTGACTTGTTTAGAGAACTTGTCAATATTTTTTCTACATCTTCCGGTTTCGTGGTACCTATGTATAACTGTGAGCCTGCCCATGCTTTGGCAACTGGTCCGTATGAATCCAGATATCGACAAACTAGTTCAAAAAAATCTGCAATATAATTTTGTTACACTTTCTCAAAATAAATTAATAAATATTTTTTACTTACTATCTTTTGTTGCAGATAACAGGAACGCACTTCCGACGAGTGGCACTGAGAATGGTCCAGGAATTTTCCAAGCGTGATACAACAACCATCGTTTCTTCCAAAGAGTCGAAGTGATGATAAAAATCACACAAAGAGTGAAAATCCAGACTAGCATAGCGAAAGGAGTGACCACACGAGAGTTTTAAAATAATGCGCTTTACATTTAAGAGGCAAATGTTTTTGTAGTCTAAATTCTAACTAGTTTATTTTTACAGTCAATTATTGATTCTTGCTTCACGTTAATAACTTGATTATTCCTAATATTATTTGCTCATATTGGCATCAAAAACCTGTTGCTTCTTCAAGGAATTTACCACAAACATACAGGTGTTTTTTACTCGAAACAAGGTCTGTAACTTTCATGGGCTTTTATTTTTAATTGAAATACCCGTAAATTTTTTAATAAATGAATCGTTTGTTCTTTTAGTCCATTGCTAAAACTAAATCAGACGTTTTAAAAATGTTAATCCTCTTACGGACATCAATGTCGTGAAAGTAAAAAATCTAAGAGATGTTGGTGTGCTCCTGCAATCTGACAGTTCTAGCAACTTTAAGCAAATCACCATGAATAACTTGTCTGACCAATATGATATTCGTGAAGTCAAGACAATTGGTCCAAGGATTAGAATTACAGGTATTCCTGACTACATAAAAAAAGAAGACATTGTCTTATACCGTGAAGTTTTTTTTTCTCTGAATACAGGATATTTCATGTATGTTGGGTTCATCCTCCAATAGATTGATTTGGACTGAATATAAGATCACATAAGATTCGTAATAATTGAGGATTCAACGATGTCAACGATGACATTTACAGTAAAATTTTTGATGAAATTGTTTTAAAAAGGTCAATAACGTAAATTTTCTGTTCTTTAAACTTGCACTTTTTACTATACTTTAACATGAAGACAGTAGTGCCAAATGTCAATGACATAATATCCTAAAGCTCGATTAAAATTTATGTTCAGTTTTTAAAAGTCCAAGTCAATCCATTACAAGCAGATATGCAACCAACTTAACATTAATTATCCTATGTTCAGAGACAAGAAAACCTTACGGTGTATGAGAAAACAAAATGAATCAATCTTTGACTAGAAATCCAATTGTACTTTGTTAAAATATGGCCCGGTTAAAAAAAATAATATTATTTTTCAAGCTGTTTATGAAGTTGAATTGTTGACATATAAAAGGCACTATGTAACGAAAAAACCCAAAAATTGTCAGTAAAAACATTTAAAAATTCACACAAAATCATTGGATTATTACTGTTTAAATATTGTTAATTTAAGACGTTCTGCTAGTGTATTAAGTATGAGTTTAAACAGAGGCCACATTCGGGAACGAGTATTATTCAATCAATCGAGTCCACGAGAGTACAGTAAAGTTGCGCCGGAATTACTTTGTACGTAATCGCTGTGTAATAATCAGTCGTGTAATTCGAGTTATTAAGAAATGAGTTGTTGAGATTTACTCACGTCGATTTTATTCACCGACCTTCGTAACACTATTTTTTAAGTCTAAGATATGGAATGACGCTGCTGATTTTTTGTGGTAAAAAATATAAACAGTTTATTTATTAAAAATTGACGCAGGGGTGTTCCATTTAAAAACAGCAGTTGATGAAAGCTAGAGGGATTACATCGAATAAAAAAGATAACTTCTATAGGTATACCGATATATGTAGATATTGTGTGGATATTCTTGAAACTTTAATTTGGCAACAGGTTTCTGTCGATGATGCAAGTATAGAGTTGATTATATGCAGTTATCAACTTTTTATTTTCAAGCTATCCTTGACTTTTACAAATAAACTTTAGTGCAAAAGGTCAATTTTGAAAACAGTTTACCTCTTAAATATAAAGCGCATTGTTTTAAAATTCGTGTGCTCACACCTTATGCTATGATAGTCTGGATTTTCATTCTTTGTGTGATTTTTACCATCACTTCGGTTCTCTGGAGGAAACGATGGTTGTCGTATCACGCTTGGAAAATTCCTGGACTATTCTCAGTTCCCTTGGTGGGAACTACGTGACTGTTATCTGCAACAAAAAACAGTAAGTAATAAATATTCATTAATTTTTTTGACAAAGTGTAACACAATTATTTTGCAGATTTTTTTTAACTTTTGTATCGAACTCTGGACTCCTATAGACCCGTTACAAAAATATGGGCAGGCTCACAGTTGTACATAGCCATCACAAAACCGGCAGATGTAGAAAAAATATTGACAAGTTGTCTAAACAAGTCACCTTTCTACGACAATTTTAACGATATAATGAAAGACATCCTGCTTTTGAAGTCAGCAGTGTGTCTTTCATTATATCGTTAAAAAAGGTGACTTGGTTAAACAACTTGTCAATATTTTTTCTACATCTGTCAGTCTTGTGATTCCTATGTACAACTGTGAGCCTGCCCATGCTTTGGCAACCGGTCTGTACGAATCCAGATTTTTACAAGCCAGTTCAAAAAAAATCTGCAATATAATTTTGTTACACTTTTTTAAAATAAAATAATAAATATTTACTACTTACTATCTTTTGTTGCAGATAACAGGAACGCACTTCCGACGAGTGGCACTGAGAATGGTCCAGGAATTTTCCAAGCGTGATACAACAATCATCGTTTCTTCCTTTTGTAGTCTAAATTCTAACTAGTTTATTTTTTACAGTTAAGGATTGATTGTTGCTTGACGATAATAACTTGATTATACCCAATATTATTTGCTCATATCGACAACAAAAACCTGTTGATTCTTCAAGGAATTTTGCACAACATACAGGTGTTTTTTTATTCGAAACAAGGTCTGTACCTTTCATGAGCTTTTATTTTTAATTGGAATATCCGTAAATTTTTTAATAAATGAATCGACATTTAAAATGTGTTTAAAATTGGAGAATGTGCGTTCAACATCCACACTCGTTGTTGGCGCAAATTTGAGTTTTGCAACTAATGTTGAATCTAACTCCAAATTTTCCACCTTCTGGTCTTGTAAAACACGAGCAACGTCGGAAAGAACACCGAAACCTGCATTTTTATTTAACACTTCGTCAAGTTTTTGAGATACTCTAGTACCAATATCACCCCTTACTGCGTTTGCTTGTTGTTTAAATTCTTTCACTAAGTTTATGACATCTACCAACAACATGTTGGGTTTTTCTAACTTTTCTATTACCTCACATACGAATTGATAATTGCTTCTTAGAAAAGCTAGATCTTGTCGCAAATCTTTGTTTTCCAAAATATTTATGCAATCTTTAATCGATTGAGAGGAATCTTCGCTAAACTACGTAACTACTTCCTCAAATTCTTTGATATATTTGTCATAATAAAATGTGGCCTGTAACCATGTTCCCCACCTCGTTATAATCGGCTCTGGGGGCAATGGTATGTTTGGAAATTTTTCCTTAAAATGTTGCACTCTTAGTGGGGCTTTAACAAAAATCTTTTTACCATTTGCCACTAATTTATTAACAGTAGGAAACTGCAAACGTATTCCTTCAGCCACTCTGTTTAAACCGTGGGCAATCCAAGTAGAGTGAATTAAATTGGGGTACAATATTTTTAGATTATTCCCTGCTTTCAACATATAACGAGCTGCATCCGAGATCATCAACAAAATTTTATTGGCAAAAATAGTTACGTAAGACTGTCATTTACAAATCTGGTAATCGTATTGCCATTTGTTTTATCTAACATTTTCAAACTTACTACATACCCTCGACTAGGGAAATTTTCATTTAAGATTCCAACAATTAAACTTGCCACGTATCTTCCACAACTATCGGTTGTTTCATCGACAGCGAACCATAAATAATTATCTCCAATGCGATGTTTAATTTCGTTGTAAACTTGCTGAAACACTGAGCCTACATAATTTTTTCGGAGAGTACTTTCAACCGGAATATGTCGATTGCAGTGTTTTTCAAGGAATTCTTGAAGAGGGCCTTTCTCCAATTTTTTTAAACGTATATTGGACTCGATCATCATTTTACATAAATCGAAATTAAACTGAAACTGCTGATCTTTTGTGGAAGTAGATGCAACAGATTCATGTATGGTCTGCTGTTTAATTTTAGAAACTTCAAACATTTTCTTCCTTTCTATATGAAGAGTGGTTCTGACATGTTGCGTCATGTTATATTTTTTATCACTTTGAATTTAAAACAACGTACATATACAGGATTAACAAAGGAAAATAGATAAAAAAAATTAGTGGGCTTACGGTTTTCACACAAGTTCTGCAGAATATTTTGTTGTTTTCTAATTTTAATTCTGGAAAATTCCTAATCCACTCATCCGGCGTCGATTTTACTTTCGGAGTTCTTTTAAAATATTAGTAATATTACCAAAAAGAACTCAACATGTAACAAGGGAGAACCACGTATAACACTGTACTACGACAGATGCGATAGACTGATGGTTGTGAAATAAACGGTTCATTTACTTAAAAGTTTCCATTAGAAAAATTTTAAGGTAGGTAGTTGGGTACAATAATCCTTTTTTCTAGAAAGTCTTCAACGGTCTTGCCGCAAAATGCCGAAAAAGAACATCTGGTTAAAAGCTATAATCCATTATCAACGGAAGTAAGGATTTAAAGTCAAAAAATCTATGGAGTATTTTTCCAATCCTATAAAAAAAAATTTATTACCCAAACGACCGGAACCTATTCACAGAAAGGGTCTTGAGTAAGTATACTTCAATGGTCAAGTCCAGGTAAAATGCATACGATACGATACGGCTAACTAACAAGTATTTGTCATTCCGACAAGGCCGGCATTTGAACAAAATATGCATTAAAACTCATATTCGTCGAAAAAAGCATTAAATAAGCATATAAGTTTTAATATGCATAAAATTGAAAAAAAAAAACAAATAAGCATTAAAAAAAAATTGTCAAATGACTCCAAATTGTATCAAGTTGCAGATATAAAAAAGTTTTGAAGTGCTTACATTTTCACAAAAAGCATTAAACCTAGAAATCCGCTCTCTATTGATGAGATATTTTCATCAATTAGGGCGTTAGAGTTTATCATTCGTAATTGCAAAATCTTTCAACTTAATAGTACTCTCCTTACTTTAAACACTTCGTTTATTAGATCAAAACTAGGGTATGGCTGTGTTATTTGGTTCCCATATATGATATCCATTGTCTCAAATTAGAAAAGTTTCAAAGGAAATTTTTTAAATTCCTCCATTTCAAATCATTTGGCTATTACCCTTGTAGAGGTTTTCTTCAAAATGAACTTTTGGTTCTCTTCCATTCAAAGCTTGGAAAAGAAGAGAGAAACTTTGTTTGTCCTAGATTCTAATGCTTTAGTTCCAAAGTTGCACTTTCTAGTTCCCCGGTCAAACATTAGAAACCGTTTATGTTTTTATACTGAAATTTCTAGAACGAATGTACATGTGTTATCGCCCATTACAACTATGTGCAGAATTTACAATAATTATCGAAATAAATTTGATATTTTCAATTGTAGTTTACGCCCGCCAGATCAAAAATGCACATCTAGAACTGTCAATTCATTTTTAACTATTTAATTATGCACTTTTAACGGTCTAATTTAGCCCTAATAACATACCACTCTAATAACTAGTTTATCTGTAGGGATGGTAAACAATAACAAAAAAAAAATAATTGAACGAAAGAAATCGTTTTAAAAAGAGATTTGTTGTTGTTGGACGTAAAGGCTTTGAAAACACCTTTTTTCGCGGCGATTTTACAATTCCAAAAAAAATAATATTAAAATTTGGATCGAAGCTGACAAACGCATCAAAAGGTCAC